TATGTATGTATGTATGTATGTATGCATGCATGCATGCATGCATGTATGTATGCATGTATATGTATATATATACACATGTGTGTATATATATATTCCCATTCGTCGTTGAAAGTATGTATTTTTGGATTCCCAGATTCCAATATATATATATGTATATATATATATATACTTAAACGCCTTCCTACTTCAATGATCGGTTCTTTTCGCTTTTTCCCGCCCTATTGAGGGGGCGGGCGGACACCCAATCTACGTTCCACGCCTTCCTACTCCATGTTTCTACCTACTTCTTCCGACCGATGGGTAAATCTCTATATATATATATATATATGTATATATACACATGACTGACCAGGCGACCGGGTCTCCAGGGGGTGGCCCTTTTTCCAGAGTCTCCCTGCCCATCCGTAGCCCACATTTTCCCCGGGCGTCCAGGACCCACTGGGAGCTTTCGGGGGTGGGCTCTCGGAGGCTTCGAAGGCGACCCCCGAACAGTCCAAGAGGCCTCGGAGACCGTCCAATAGCTTTCCAAGACCCCCAAGATGGCTTCCAGACGGCCTAAGAGGCCCCCAAGACGCCCCAGCAGGGTCTCAAGAGGACCCCAAAGATGGGCCCAGGACACAGACATCGTCCCCAATATGTCGTCTCGACCTCGCTTGCTCGCTCGCTCCTTCTTCACCCTCCATCCCCTTTTGATCATTATCCCTTTACCCACTCCCTCCTTTGCCCTCCTCTTCTTACTCCTCCTTTTTAATTTTTCTTGTCGGAAGGGGGCCACATGCACTTTTGCTACCCGCTGAACTGGGTACGTGCAGGTTCGCTGGCGTTCTCTGCGTTCGCAGGCAGGAGCACCCCGACGCCTCGCGGGGCGTCCCCCCTTGCGAGAGGAAAGAAACAACTCTTGCCTCCGCTCTCTCTCTCTCTCTCTCCACCTTTCCTTCTCCGCATTCCTTCCCCTGTCTAAGGCTTCCTCCGTTCCCTCCTCCCTGCTGCCTTCTCTCCCCTCTCTTGCCTGCAGCTCCCCATCTTCTACCATATCCCTCCTGCTCCCTCTGTCCACCATCCCTCTTGGCTCATCCACCCTCAACTCTCGCTCCTACGCCCTCCCCATCCCCATCGACCCTTACTCTGCATCTTCAGTCTCCGCATCTATCCTCCCGCTCCATCTCTGCCCCGCGTCCGCCCCTCCCTCCATTATGTTTTCAAGTCCCTTCGCGGTCGCTAGCTTCCACATGTTGCGACATCCCCTCACATTGTTCGTCTCCCCACCGCCAAGAGTTCAGATTCATAGAACTCGCATGGATTGTTTTAGCGCTCCCGCCCTCTATCACAACCGCCCACTCAAGACGGCTAAAGAGACTTCACGAGGGCTCCAAGGCGGTCTGAGGGGCCCAAAGACGACCAAGGAGCCCCCCCTGGCAGGCCTAAGGCGAACCCAGGATGACCCCAAGCAGAGGCCCCGCGATGCCGAGTGCACCAGCAGGGACCACGAGGCTCCCCAGAGGCCCTCCGAGGCACCCAAGACGCCCTCAAGATGTTCCAAAGGGGCCGTTTGACGGCCCCCGGAGGCAGCGCAACCTTTACAAGGCTTAGGCTTCGCGCCCACATCATGGTCAATGCCCGCAGTGGCGTAACATACACGCCGTCCGTAAAGTTCGAATGCCTTCCCCTCCACAGGGTGTGCCTTAATAGTATACCTACCCCCGAACCAAGTTCGACGGGACCTGATGCTGGTGAGAATGATGATGATAATGGTGGTGGTGGTACTGATGACGATCGTGAGGGCAGGGACGACGAGGAAGGTGATGTTGGCAATAGGTATGATACTGATGGTGAGGACGAGGCTGGCGATGCTGATGATGCTGATGATGGTGATTATAGTGATGATTGTGATGATGGGGATTTCAATGGTGATGACGGCGACGATGCCGACGACGATTGCGATGACGATGGCCATGACGACGGTGATGTTGGTGTTGTTGGTGGTGGTGATGATGCTGATAATCAGGATGGTGATGCTGCTGCTGATGATGCTGCTGATGCTGCTGATGCTGATAATGATCATCATCACCATCATCATCATCATCATCATCATCATCATCATCATCATCATCATCATCATGATGACGATGCTTGCGATAATGATGGCGATGAAGGTGATGAAGGTGATGATCAGAGTATGATGATGATGATGCTGAACATGATGCTGCTGCTGATGATGCTATGCTACTGATGATGATGATGATGCTGCGGGTGCACATGCTGATGTCAGTGACGACGATGATGATGATTCTGCCGATGGGGATGATGGTGATGCTGTGATGGTGATGCTGCTGCTTGCGATTGGTGATGGTGATGTCGATGGTCCGGATGGTGATGGCGATGGCGATGGTGATGATGGTGGTGATTGTGATGGTTATGGTGGTGGCGTCGCTATGCACCGTACGGGCAGTTGTCATGATATGGTGGTACAGTTAACAACAATTAAGGTGGTGATACCCATGGCAATTAATATGGTCATGGTATGGTGGTACAGTCAACAGCGATGATCATGCTGATCATGCTAATACTGATGATGATGTATATCTGATGATGGTGATGATGATGATGATGATGATGGTGGTGATGATGACGATGATGATGCTGCTGCTGATGATGATGCTGATGATGACGAGTGGCGCCAACACGGGTGATGGATATGGGGCGGGCTGTGCACAGAACACAGCCCCAAATACGGCCCCCACGTGTGGCCTCCACGCGTGGCCTCCACGCGTGTTGCCCCGCCGCGTGGCCTTCGTGTGGCCCCTCAGGGCTGGTCCTCCGAGGTGTGCGTGGTTGCAGGTTTGGGTACGCATGCACGCGTGCTTGTACACCTTAGGCGATGGTTAAGAAAACCCAAGTTTTCGGCCAGAGTCTCGATTATTCTTGATGTTTCCATGTACATCCTAAGATTTCGATGGAAATTCTGGGCTTCTACTCAAGTTCTGAGACTATGAATTTCTTAACCCATGATTTCTTAAGCATTTCGCAGGGTGTACACACGCATGTTGTGCACGTTCATGTGTGCTGGTCGTCCTTCCCGCGTTTCGCGGGTGTCGTGGATTTTGCGCTTCAAGGCCGAGGTCCGCGAGAAATTGAGCGCGCGCGAAGCGCGCGTGGTTCTAATGGCATACATGTGATTATATGTATGTATGCATTTATGTACGTATGTATGTTTGTATGTATGCATGCATGCATGTATGTATGTGTGTATGTTTGCATGCATACATACATGCATGTGCGTGTACGTATGCATGCATGCATGCATGTATGTATGCATGCATGCATGCATGCATTCATGCATGTATGTATGTATGCATATATGCATTGTGTGTATGCGTGTATGCATGCATGTTTACATGTATGTATATATATATAAATAGATATATAGGTATAGCGATGTGTAATTCCACATTTGTACACACACATAGAAGTGCCACCGATAACACAATAACCCCCAACCCAAATAACATCGTGAAGGCGTGCCCTTACTTAGATCCCCGCCTTTGCTCTATGGATGACACTTGTGGGCTGTCTGGTTTGGTACACCTGCATAAGAGACCCCCTATCCCCCATGTTTCTGGCCCTCCTAACTTGGGTCCCCTCCCAGATGTCTGGGCCAGGGTGGGCGGCTGGGAGTCCTCTTCCGCTCCCGCTGCCGCTCTCTGGCCTGCGGAAGGATGCTGGGGAGGGCGCCTGTTGGGCTGCCTGGCGCCTTCGGCCTCCGGCCCGAGGGCCCCTCTGCGCCATCGGACGTTTACTGGCTCGTTCGTTCCTCCTCCTCGAGGAAGAGGACGAGGAAGAGGACGTTGGAGGAGGAGGAGGAGGAGGAGGAGGAGAGCCTCTTGCTCCAACTCCTCGTCCTCGTCCTTGGGGCCCTGGAGGGCCGCCTCGGAGGTTTACGGGGGCAGTCTGCACGAGAGGACTGCGAGCTCCTCCGCGGCGCAGCGGGCTCCGTGGGTCGGCCGGTCGGTGCCGCGGGTACGGGGCCTGTCCGATTCCGTGGCACGGCGCGTCCTCCCAAGGGCTCCCTCGAGGGCGCGAAGTTATTCGCGCTTCGCGCTTCGCGGTCCTCGTTCCTTCTCCCCCTCCTCCTCGTCCTCCTATTCTCCCTTTGGGAGAGCGGCGCGAGAGCGCGAAGTTATTCGCACTTCGCGCTTCGCGCAGCGCGAAGCGCGAAGCTGGGAGCCCTTGCATTTCTCGGGGTTCCGCGCGGATTTCTTGGGGATGGCGCTGGACCCCCTTGGCGGCGCCTCCGGCGCCGCCTTTGGCTCAGAGGAGGAAAAGGCACCCGCAGCTTCACCCTTCCCTCGTTTTCCCCTTCTTGGGCCTCCTGGGAGGCCCTCGTCGCCACGGCTGGATTCGCCTCGACATTCTGGTCAGAACGCACCCCGGGAGAGGTCCGGAGAGTAGCGGTATCGGTATCCTGTGATTTCCCCACTGGCGCGTTTCCGCGAGCCAGGACGGGGGGTCCAGTGCCGATGCAAGGAGTCTGCGCGGACCTCAGACATGATGCTTCTTCCGTTTTTTATGCTTCCATCTGCTTACGGTTGCCCTCGTGTCGGATCCTTTACCGTCGTTGGGTGGCCCTCGTCGTCGCGTTCGGTCGCTGCTCGTGGCTTTGCGTGTTCGTCGGCCCCGCCTCAGCTCGCCCACACGTGCGGAAGGCACGCGGACCAGGGCTGGGAAGCCAATCGTCCGTACATCCTCCCTTTCTTCCTTCTCTGGCTTCTGTTGCTGCTTCTGCCGCCGTTGCTTCTCCCTTCTCGTCGTCCTCGCCGTGGTGTGTCTCTGGCTTCTTCTTCGTCCTGCCTCATTTCTCCTCCATGGCCTTCTCTTCCTCGTTTTTCTGCTGCTCCTCCTCTGGTCCTTCTCGTCGTCCGTACATCGTCGTCAGGGCTCTGTTCAATGTTGCGCAGTTTTTCATTCTGTCACCGCTCGCTTCCCTCCGGCGCGCCGCCCAGTGGCAGAAGACGCATAACGGGCTCGTGCGGATGTACCGGGCCGAGGCATTCTTCAGCCACGCGCAGAGGGGGGGAGGGGGAAGGGGAAAGGCTTCTTAGAGGCACCCTGCTTCTTGGAAGGCGCGGGCCTTATCTATAGGTGTAAGGCCGACGCGTTCTAAGAAGCAGCCTTGTGCGCGCCTCCAATCTCTCCCCCCACCCACTTTGTGTGCGCCGCCGATATCCCTTCTTTTTTCAACTGTTTTTTGCCAGCCCTGTCGACTGTTCTGGCCGACGGAGCACGGGAGAAGGCAGCGAAGTCCACAGGCTCGACATGCGCGGATCAGCGCCTGCGTCCGCGCGAACTCTCCGTTGAAGCTGGGACGTCCATCGCAGTGAGGTGCTCCTCCCTCTACCCCCCCATCCTGCCCCCCCTCGTTCTGGAGGGAGGAGGAGCGGGGGTTTTCCAATCCGACTCAGGCAGGACGGGTTACCCAGGGTCCAGGGTTGGTGATTGTCATGAACTTCTAAACGGCGAGCCCCCCCAGTCAAACGTAGATGGCCTCCTTCAGGGGCAACGTTAAGGGGATCGGCTCGGGGGGAATGCATCGACTCCCAGAAGCCGATTCATCGCCGATAGGGTCCTGATAGCCCACCTCGTCTAGGAACGCGCGGTCGTTGTCGGTGCCTCATCCCCAGAGGCCTCCAGAGGCTTGCTGAGCGACCACAACGGACCAATCATGTTCAAACCACATTGATACCGCGAAACAAAAAACAATTTCGTTTAGTTTGGCTTAATCCCGCTTGCTCGAAATCACGGCGCGAGGTCTTTTCGCCGTTTTCGTCTTTGGGGGCCCGTCCCAGGCCGCGGAGCCGTCAAAAAACGACCCAGGATGAAAAGCCGGTCCCGGGGAAGGGACCAGAGGAGGACGCGGAGGCGGCGGAGGAAGCGGAGGGGGAAGCGGAGGCGGAGTAGGAGGAGGAGGAGGAGGAGGAGGAGGAGGAGGAGGAGGAGGAGGAGGAGGAGGAGGAGGAGGAGGAGGAGGAGGAGGAGACCCCTGGGGGTCGACGTCGTGAAAAATCATGACGTCAGGGGCCGTCGCGCGGTCCGCCACCACACGGTTCCAGGACCCCAGGGCTGCCTTCGCCGCCCTCGCCGCCCGGGGAAGCGGCGGCGGAGTGCCACGAGGCTCACCACCCACCAGGAGGAGGAGGAGGAGGAGGAGGAGGAGGAGGAGGAGGAGGAGGAGGAGGAGGAGGAGGAGGAGGAGGAGGAGGAGGAGGAGGAGGGAGGGGGGGGGGGAGGGGAGGGGGAGGGGAGGAGGAAACCACCCCAACCCGACACGAAGGCCCCAATGTGCCCTCTATTACATGTGTGGGAGGGGGCCGTCGGGGAACATTGAAAAACATATGTGGGACGTACCCCCCCCAGCCGGATAGTCGGGTTTCCGGGTCGGGTTTGGGTGGTTTGGTAGTTGGTCAGAGGCCAGCAGGGCCAGAGGCGAAAGGGCAAGCAGTTGGCACAGGTCCTTTGGTCCTTTTGTGCACGTTTTTCTGTGGCCCAGATCGATTCGCGATGTAGGTCGGCCACACGCAGTGGGGGGGGTAGGTGGAGGTCTTCGGTTATTCCCCACCCCCCTGGTCCTCCTGGCAAAGAACTCGCTCCTCCTTCTCCTCCTCCTCCTCACAGCGGCTTCGGGCCACAACAAACGGGGCAACAAAAACTTCGCGCGCGCGAGCAGCGCAGCGGGAAAGAGGGTGGGGGAGGCGAGGAGGGCGGAAGAAGGGGCGAGGACGAGGACAAAGCAGGCGACGAGGGCGAGGGCGAGGACGAGGAGGGACGAGGCGGCCACAAGGCGACGAAGCGAGGGCGAGGAGGGAGGGAAAAGGGAGGGCGAGGACGAGGACGAAGCAGCAGCAGCAGGGGTGAGGTGAGTCAGGAGCGAAAGAAGAACGTACACGGACACGAATCTACGCTGGTTTCGAGAGTACGCACTGCGCGAACGTTCGTATCACGCGGCCGGTCTCGCGGATTGGGGGACCGTGGTCATGTACGTGGGTGGGCGCGTATGTCCTCCGTGGGTTCCCCAAACAATGAAGGGGCGAAGAGGGCAAACGATGTAGGGACAATGAGCAAACATGTGGCGCCCAGAATCTGAGGGACCAGCCGTGATCACGCTTCGCCGTAGGCTCCTCGGAAGCTCCCCGTCGTCCAGCGCTGCCTGTCCCAGAGGCCTCCAGTGAGATCTTCGGCGGAGGCCTCCACAGGTGTCTGGAGGCCCGAAACGAGCCGCGCTCTTTCCATCATCCCCAGACCTGCGACGACGCTATATTTTCCCACAGTGTGGACCTCCAGAGTTCTGGACCCCTTCCCAAGCGCCGTCCTTTCAACCGGAGGTGTTCCCTGACTGCCCTGGGCCCCAGAAGAGAGGGCCTCCAGAAGCGGACGACGGGCAAAAGCTTCCCGTCGGTTTTTGTCCGCGACTCAGGGTGATGGGCCTGTTTTCCACCACCACCACCACCATACGTTGGAAGGCGGAAGGAGGTGGAGGACGAAGAGGAGGAGGAGGTCGAGGAAGAGGAGGAGGAGGAAGATGAGGAGGAGGAGGAGGAGGAGGAGGAGGAGGAGGAGGAGGACCCCGTCCCCCTCTAACTTATGGTGGTGGTGGTGGTGGGACACAGGCCCATCACAAGGGACAAGGGGGTAGGCACGACCCAACCATCCGTGTTTTATACGTGCGTCGGCCGCGCAAAGGGCGACGCACACGCTCGGACATCTTACAGGTTTGATCTCCGTGGCGAGCGCCTTTTCTGTCCAGATCTGTCGGGCAACGACATTCTACCAGGCTTTGTCATGGATGTCGGGGTCGGACGTGCGTCGTCAACAGAGGCACATAGTTCAGCCACGCGCAGAGGGGGGTGGGGGAGGGGGGAGGGCTTCTGAGAAGCACCCCTGCTTCTTAGAAGGCGCGGGCCTTCTCTACAGATGCAAGGCCGGCGCCTTCCAAGAAGCAGCCTCCTTCTAAGACGCCCTCCCCCCTCCCTCCACCCCGTTGTGCGCGCCGCCAAATAGTACTCTTACATCCCTGTGCGTGTCATCGGGGTCCTCGTTCGCCGCAGGACCCCCAGAGGTCTCGACACCTCCCCCGGGGGGCTTGTTTTCCATCCTGCGCTGTTGTTGGACGGCCCCGGGGCTCGGCAAGGGGCCCCCCTCTGGAGGCGGAAAAATGGGGGGGGGGGCGATAGGTTCGGGGGCGAGGAAAGGCGCACCTTTTGTGCCCCAAGGGGGGCCCCAAAGGATCCCCCTGGGACTCAAAAGGGGCACGACACGGGTGTACGTTTCTCCCCCCCACGTTCTTCGCCCCCCATGAAAGTCACGCCCGCAGAGCCTCCCGCCGCGCTTCCTCCGCGACTCGAGGGGGTCGGGGTCCTCCTCCTCCTCCTCCTCCTCCTCCTCCTCCTCCTCCTCCTCCTCCTCCTCCTCCTCCTCCTCCTCCCCCCCCTCCTCCGCCGCAGGTCCTCGGGAAGTTCCCGGTCATCCAGCACTTTCTGTTCGGCCCCACGCTCCCGTGGCCCGGCGATGAGCCTTGAGTGACGCGGGCGTCCTCAGCGCGCCGCAGGAGAAAAGCCAAGCTGCCAAGAGAGAGAGAAAAAGAGAGAGAGAGAGAGAGGAGCGCGCGGCGCGGCTGCTTCTCGCCTCGCCTTGCCGCGGCGGACTCCCAGAGATCCGAGGAGAGCGCCCGAGATCCTGACGTCTTAACGTGCACAACGACCCAGACATGACCGCGTTGTGCGAAGATTCGGATGCCACACGCGAGCCCGTTACCCCATTCCCACCACCCCGCGATTTCTGAGGGGGGAGGTGGGGTTCACTTCGCTCGGGAGGTCGTCGTGATCGACGTGAACCCCACCTCGCCCCTCAGAAATCGTGGGGTGGTGGGGTATGGGTTCGCATGTGGTCTCCGAAGACCCAGAGATCCGATGTCGTGATTTTCTCAATGCGGGGTCCCTCGAAGTTTCGACCCACTCCCTTGACCGGTTTCTCATCCCGAGTCGTGTTTTGACGGTCCCGGGGCCCAGCGAGGGCCCCTCGAGGCCGAAACATACAGAAAACCTACGTCTTGTTTGTCTCAATACGCTGGATCTCTAGGGAATCAGGGCGGAGGTTTTTCTCTCCCTTGTCGGCCTCTGGGGGCCCTCGCCGGGCCTCTGGGGGCCGTCGGCAAGCGACCTCGGGCCCCGCGGCCCTCGCGGACCGATCCAGGCTCGAGAGATGGGGGCCTGGGGCTCCAGTGGTGATTCGGGGGCGGCAGGGAGGGGGATGATGATCAGGGGGAGTGTGTCTTGGCTGGGGTGCTGCTGCCGCGTGCGGCGGCCTTCTGGCGCGGGCGGCGCTGGCGGGGTCATGGTCTCGGACACGGCCATAGTGTCCGCCTGGCGGTGGGACCGCACAGGGAGCTGGTCTACATGCAGAGACGTGCAAGGGAGGACTCCGCAGGGGTTCGCCCCCTCTGGGATGGGAGAGAGAGAGGGGGAGTGTGGATCTTTCAGGCGATCGCAAACATGGATCAGGGGGGCGTGGGTTCGCGGCGGGTCCCGTTTCCGTGGGAAATCGCGGACTTCCGCCGCCGAGCGAGGCGGCACCGGCCGCATTTTGGGGAGGGCACCTCCCCCGACCAATGATGGATTTGGCGACCGCGCGCAAGATCCATGGATCGCTAATCCATGTTTGCGCGCTCCTGGATATCATGGCGGGGTGGCCATGATATCTCCCAAGAGAGATGGCACAGGGAGATAGGGTCTGGGGCTCCAGAAGTGACTCGGGGGCGGCACTTAGGTGGATGATGACCAGGGGGAGTGTGGAAATCATTGCGGGGGCCATGATACCTCCCTCGAGAGATAGCGCAGAGAGGGGGTCTGGGGCTCCAGTGGTGTCTCGGGGGCGGCAGGGAGGGGGATGATGACCAGGGGGAGTGTGGATATCATGGCGGGGGCCATGTTATCTCCACAGATTTCATGGCGCCTCTGCTTCTTGCAATACGTCCCCAGCCCCCCCCCGCCAGGCCGCGCACACGCCGCCGGTCATCCTTTGCGCCCTCCACCCTCTTGTGCGCCCCCCTCTGGGACTCCCCCGACAGTGGTGATGCCTCGCGATGTTTCAGTTTTCTTCCAACGTCGGATCGCAGGGTTCGCTTCGCCCTGTCACGGAACTCCAAGAGACCCGAGGAGAGAGCACAGGTTTGGGTGCTGCATTGGGGGGGCGAAAAACCCAGACCCAGCTCGCGTCGTGAAAAACGTCACGAGGGGCGGTGTTTGCCCATTGTCGGCCTCTTAGGGCCCTCGCCATGCCCTGAGACCGTCAGCGAAAACAACTCAGGATGGAAAGCCGGCCCCAGGGAAGGAGTCCAGACCTCTGGGAGTCCACGCTGTGCAAGAAGTGGTGGGCTTGTTTTCCACCACCACCACCAGAAGTAGGAAGGGGAGGGGTTCCTCCTCCTCCTCCTCCTCCTCCTCCTCCTCCTCCTCCTCCGCATCCTCCTCTTCGTCCTTCTCGTCTTCCACTTCTTCCCCCCCTCCGACTTATGGTGGTGGTGTGGTGGTGGAAGAAAACAGGCCCATCAAGAATCATGGCGTCGGGGGTCCTGGCAGCAGGGGGTGAAGAGAGATGCGCCCTTCGTGCACTGTCGTGGCCCCAGACAGGGACCTCTTATGGTTAAGTCGGGCCTGTCCCTCTACAGGAGGAGTATCAAACAAATGTTAAAAAAAAACACGTAGTCGGGGGACGATGTTTCGACTATTTTGGGTATTTTCTGGCATATTTGACTATGTCTAATTTTTCCTCAAAATCCGCCTGCAGGAGGACACGCCCGACCTGATCTTGGGCCCAAAAGGTGCGCGGAAGGTTCGCGTTTCTGCGCCTTCCCGTCTCTCTCGCCACCCCCTCAAGCAACGCCCAGTCGTGAGGGCCGACATCGATGTCTTTCCTCGAAGCCGGGGGGTGTCTGGCGTCGATCCAAGAAATCCGCGCGGACCTCCGCAAGTTCATGTTTATCTGATGGCCTGAGCCCATCCCGCCTCCGGCTTTCTTGGGCCCGCGAAAGTCATGCGGGGAGGCGCAGGGAACCGCGACAGGCTCCGAGAGATCTTGCAACTTTGGGACCCGGCCCCTAAGTGATGCATCGGAAGTGAGGACTGCGACCATAATCAGACTATTTCTCCGCCCAGGCTCCAGATCGGGCACCCGGGCACCCCGCACGTTCGTTTTGTTATTCTGTTGGAAGCGTTGACGCTCGCGTGCGTTTGCATAGTATGGGGCATCCTCCTGGTGCGCAGAACCCGCCCTATGCCTCCACTCCGCGGCTGCCGTGCCGCGGCGCTTGCGCCAATTCGCCGCCTAGGGATCGTCCCTTGCACGCAGTTCGTTGGCATTCGCTTCTTGCTGTGTGGCCTCTTTCCGCGTTGGACCACGCGTGGGCTGGTCTTCGCGCCCGCGTCGCCGGTGCTGTGTCTTCCAGCAGCGTCGCATCACGCGTCGGATTTTTCCATTCCATCTCCCAATTTTTTCTCTTCCCTTTTCCTTCGTGTCTCCTCTGCTCGTCTGTTCTTGTGGTTCACCGTCGCCATGGTCGTGCACGGTCGGTTTCACGGCGTCGGGATCTCACGTTCTTTTGACGCCGTGGGCCGTCGTCTTATGATATTCATGTCGACAAGTCGTTGGTCCCCAGCTTTTCTGGAGCACTCCGCGCCCCACCGATTAGCGCAGGAGCGCGGCCGTGGCGGGCCTCTGCTTCCGCCCGCCCCGCTCATTTTGCCGAGCGTCGCTTGTTTTTGTTTGTTTGGTTTTCCGTCTTCTGTCTTTTCCTTCCCCCTTCTCTTGCTGGTTGGCCTGTCCTAGCACGGTGGAGTCATCTTCCCATCAAGTTGGGATCTGGCGAATCTCATCATCCAGTCTTCATGCGGAAGGAAACACATGTTTCGCATGATTTTTGCGCAGCATCAGGAAGAAAGGTGCGCCTCCGTCACCGCGAGAGAACGATGGGCGGCGATGATCAGAACGACGATGACGATACGGACAACGACGGCGAGCGACGACGACCGACGACGGCGACGACGGAGAGGACGACGACGACGTCGACGATGGCGACGACAACGACGACGTCGACGACGACGACGGCGAGAGCGACGGCGACGACGACAGCGACGGTGGCAACGGCGGTGACGGTGGTCGCGACAACGACGGCGACGACGAAGACGACGACGATGGCGACGAAAACGACGACGACGACGGCAAAGACGACGGCGACGACGACGACAGCTACGCAGACGACGAGAGCAACGCCCGCGACGGCGGCGACGGCGGTGGCGACGATCCGCGGCACCGCCGCCGGCCTTGCCGCAGCCCACCGGGCGCGGGATTCGCGGGGGCACGGCCGGATGCGCCGCCTGCGATGAGGCGCAGGCCGGTCGGCGTCGTCCTCGGCCTCGGCTTCGGCCTCGGCTTCGGCGTCGTCGGCTTCGTCGTCGTCGTCGTCGTTGTCGTTGTCGTCGCCGCTATCGTCGTCGTCGGCGTCGTCGTCATCGTCCTCTGCTTCGGGGAGGGGGGGGGGGGCAGATGAGGCGGAGGAGGAAGGCGTAAGGGGCTTTAAGGCCTCCATCTCAGCGTATCTGGCTTCCAGCGGCCCAACTCTTTCAACAGTCGTATTTCTCGGGCTCCTCGGGCTCGTCGCTCCTGGAGGTCGGGAGCTGAGCCTTCCGCCTCTCGGCGCCGCTCGGCATGGCAAAGTTCATTCAGGTCACGAGGGTCAGCAAATCCGTGCATCTGCGCCACTCGGTACACATCCAGAGCCTCGGGGATGTCCAACCCATTCGCAGCAAGCGCCGCGGGGTCAGCGCTCCGCGCCGAGACCCCCGAGGGGCCCAGCCTCTCCCCTCCCACAGAGCTCGGACTTCCAGCGGCAGCTCCAACAGATCGCCGAGCTTCGGGGGAGGGTTGGCCGTCGAATTCGGGTGAAGGCCTCGCTTTAACCTTACCCTCTGGGTGGCCAGACCTGCATGCCTGTGCCTGGGAATGCCCCAGACGAGGCCCAGCGAGGGCCTTTCCAAGCACGATTGTGCTGCACGCTCGCGCCACACGAGGCACAAGACAGCACGGGCACCCCAGGCTCATGTTCATGGACGGGGGCCTGCACAACATGATGTCTGGACAACTTCCAGGTCTGGCAACTTGTCCGCCTCAAACCCGAGCAGTGAGGCACAGGGTCAGGAGGAGAAGCCGAGGAGCCAGGGGAGGAGCCGAAAGCAGCGGATCCAGAGCCAAGCGAGGCTGGGCGACCCTCCGCGGCAGCGGCACCTGGAGCCTTGCTCGGGCACAGGCGGGAGGGGGTGGCCCCGAGCAGGCCTTCCCTGACGCGCTGCTCCGGACGCGCATCGTACAGATCGACCACGTGCTGAGGCAAGGGCGCCTTCGAGGGCGCGAAGCTATTCGCTCTTCGCGCTTCGTGGTTCGGCTCCGATTCCTCCTCATCCTCCTCTTCTCCCCTGGGAGGCGGCGCGAGAGCGCGACGTGACTCGCACTTCGCGCTTCGCGCAGC